ATCCTATCTCACATTTTTACGGGTATTGTATTGATACACTATGGAAAGGATTCTATGAGGAGTATTTACTTTTCAAAGAACCACTCCTTGTCTTACATAGTTTATTTCACTATTTCCCACATAAATTATCCGAAGCATCACTGCTTCAGCATGCATAAACTTTGCAATGTATCATTCAGTGGCATTTACACAGACCGAACTTTGCTCCCGAAAAAAGACAAGAACAGGTTGCTTGCATTTTTCACAAGCGTCGAAATACCATGGGAAAAAGAAATATTTGTGAAAACTCATGAAAACTGCCATTTATTTACACTCACAAAGTACACCTTTGATAGTTGAAGAAACATTTTTGCTTAGTTTGTCTATAAGGTGCGACAGTATGAACACTGAATAAGATATCGAGCGAAAAGCTAGAGGATTATTTATGTTGATGCATCTTTATGTTCTATTGTTATAACCATGCTATGAGGTCACAAGAAAATTAAACTGCTTTTCACTTATGATGGTTGGGCATGCTTGAATAATACACAACAGAATTTCAGAGCTGGAGGTATCTCAACAAAATCGTCTTTTTTGTCAGGCCTTTGTGTTCGCTTTCCTTTTGTGAAGAATCTTGTCCGATTTTTAACTTCATCGTAGGATTCGGACACCGATGTACCAATGAAGAGAAATAAGATTTTTCTATGACCTGACGACTTGATTCTTGTGAATCTCACAAAAACAGCTATCATGCAATTTCCCCAACCACTTTTTTCTGTAAAATAGCAGATATAACTTCTAGCTTGTTCAAACTTATTCGAATGCTAAAAGAATACAATTCTGAAAAGTGTTTTAATAGGTTCGAACTGACAAAACGTATCGACAACTCTTACGAAGGAAGCTAGCTAAAAAGAGGGGCATCAAAATACTTAATGGCTGCTATTCATTTCATGCAGAATTTTTCAAGATTTTTGTTAATAGGGAAACAATTTCTATAATACAAAAGCAATATTACATAGATTAACGATGAAACATTCCTGAGTACTCGGCGCTGTTTAAATTCGTATTTTGCCCATATGTAGAGAACGATTACAAGAGAACAATCTAGTTTCTAGTGGATTCTTTCTATATGATGTTAGATTTTGAGTAACATCCTGCTTCGAATTTTGATGTAAAACGCTTTCAACATGAAGACCTTGCTATGATTAACTCATATACAAATTTTTATCATTTTAGACATTTTATCGTTGAAATACAATTTTTGCAAAAAATGTAGTTTTATGATATATAAAAATCTATAGCACTCATTTGTCAGTTATCCAATGTCCAAGAATGATGAAACTTAATGTAGGCGACGTTAGCAATGTGCTCTATCGAGTGATTATGATTCATTCATGATTCGTCAAACCACTCGTTCTAAAGTGGAAAGAAATCGATTTTACTCTATGAAACATGTGGAATCCAAGTAGGACTTCCTGTTCTGATTGAACCAGCAACCGCTCCAGGTTTTCTCGCTTTTGGCTCAAGAATAATCGTACCTGGTATTTTTAGTAACCACGGGGAAAAGACATGGAACAAGTCGTGACGAATAATTTCTGGGAAAATCTCCGAAGTTCTCTATAGCTTGAAGGAAGAATACATTATTTTTCGATTTGAAAGTAATGCTAGAAGATAATATAAATCTGATTCTCACTGTTCGATAGAGTATATCAAGTACTACGTGGAATACGAATGAGAACATCTGAAATGCTTCCAGAGCGAATATGGGCACTCTGAAACATAGGAGACTTGCAGAAGCTTTTAGGCCTCTAACAGATTCTGGGTTTTACCTTACAGCAAAAACTCCTGAAAAGCACTCCGTGCAGGAAAAAAACAGTTCTAAATTCCTTGGGAAAATATTTTTTGATTGTTCTGAACCATTTTTCAGGGTTTCTGCTACCGGGTAAAACGTGATACTGTTAAGAAGCTTGAAGAGTCTCTAGATCCTCTTTAATTTCTTCAGAGCAGGAATCACTTGCATCTGATATTAACCTAACGAATGTGGAAACTTGATATACAAGCAATCACAGCGAAGCTTTAATAGTGAGAAGGTTTAGATTGAAATTTGAGATATGATTTTACTTGAAGACAAACTTTCTATACGAAAAATCCACTAAAACTAGAAGTTTCGTGCGAATTTCAACAAGATCACGAATCCTTTGATGATCGTTTTAATCTAAGAGACTTACGTTAGCTTCTTGTATTGATGCGATAAATTTTGTGATGACGAATATAATACGTTAATAATGTATCGATGTTGTTTAACAAAGAAAATGAAAGCATTATTTTGCTTATGTGCATATTGGAAAAAGTTTGGCTTGCGTGCATTCAACCGTATACGTGGGATAAAGCATGATCATATATTATTGAGACACACTAGGCTTTTTCTCATACAAATGTTTTCATTCTTTTGCTTGTTCTATCACTAATCGATCAGACAGCTTAATTGACGAAGAGAGAAAGTTAATCGATGGTTAAAAAAAATGTGCATTATACCACGACTCTATTTGTTTTTCATTCTATCGTTGTACAGAATAGATAAAATATGAAAGCTTCACAAGCAATAGTATGCTGCTTGATAGCATTGATCCTGTTAAAACCGAGTTCAAACGTCTCTTCTACGTATGATACGAGATCTTGGTTTTTAATATTCGTTTTGGAAACATTTTCTGCCCATATCCATGTTCCTCGTCAAAGATGGACGTTTGGATGAAGTCCTCGACTTAAGATCGTTTCCGATCCACGCAGAAACCAGGAACTTAATTTCAGCAGCTGCATCGGCTACCATCGTCGTGTGTATCGTTGCTTTGATTAAGATACATTTTCCAATCGTTATTTTCGTTTAAGTTGCCTTTCGAATCGTCATTCTGCTACCGATCTTGGTGGGAAGTCAGCTTCAGACACAACTTACACTTTCATTCGTGGAGTCAGTTACATTATTCACTTCAAACTTAATATCAAGATCTATCGACTGGTTCTGTTTAGTATGGGCTCTATAAAGTCAAACTTATTCTCCAGCTGTCACTCGTTGTTCTGTATCATCCCAAAGTTTTTCATGGACCATTACTCATTTTTATAGCACCTGCCTTCGATTTTTGTCCTCAGTTTGTATCTTGGTTTCAGAGTGTACTTCCAGTTTGATCATGCTCTCAATTAGATTGGCAGACGTGCTTTGTGACAACTACTTTGGCTAGACTTCCTTACAATTTGTTGAATTCCATGTGAGAAGTCAACAGTCGCAATTGATAAGCATCACTCGCCACCCACGCGTTGTTGGTGGTTGAAGTTCATCATGCTTACGAATTATCCAAAAGAAAGTGTACCATTGCCGCTTCGTTTCAGAGCGATGAGAAGAGCAAGTATCATGGTAGGTCGTGCCACCTTCTCTGTGTCACTAATTTACCTTTTCACATGTTAACTAGGAAATGCATCTGTGTGCTGAGGGTGTGGGTGTGGGTGGGTGTGTGGGTGGGTGTGGGTG